CAGGTTATTCTGCTCCAATAAACGGGCTTTTCTGGGTTTTTGATGTGATCGTTTCTGTCTTAAAGACACAGTCAAAAACAAGCTTTTTTAAAATAATTTTTATGTTTAATTCATCTATTCAATATCATACATGAACATCATACATTCTACATACAACTAAGTCCAGGGACAGACATACAAAGCAACAAAACATTACATAAAGTGAATAAAGAAAAACTATGTGACGTCACCGTTACGTCACCGGCACTTTTCTGATAACTCCTGCTCTGAAAAAGGCGCTTTGTTTACAACTTAATATTTATAATTATCTTCACCTATGAGGAGAGGTTTTTGACTCAGTTTGTAAGTCTGTCATCAGGGTTACAGAAAATCGAATGGCCTTATTTTTTGGGAAATGTAGTGGAAGGTTGTAGGATGGGCCATGACAACACACATAACATTTTGAAGTGAATCTGAAGGGAAACACATGCTGAGTTTCAATTAGTGTTGCCAAATAGGGCATTTGTGCTGCATTTAAGTGGTGTTGGAATAATCGGAAAAATGTGTTCCTGACTGCGAAACATTTTGACTCAGAAAGTCTTTGAACATTTTGACATTTCATGGCTATCTTTTCTTTGTTTTCGCGCAATTCCTGGAAACATTTAAAGCAATCAAATCGGACTTCAACGCGTCCTCTTTGTTACGTCCATGTTACCAAAGCCTGATTATTAACTAACAATATTATCTCAACGCTGGCTCAGGTCCATTCAAGTCAGCGAAGATAATTATCCCGCCATGCATTTTACCCAGAGCTGAAAACTGGATTGCTTTTTTTACTGACATTTGATATGAAAAACGCTTTTTTCCAGTCAAATGCAAACATTTCTGTCACGAAAAATGATATTTAATCACTTAACGTCTGAAAATACTTTGGCTTTGGTCAGGATTACAGATCTCTCTTTGCATCACAAACATTATTCCTCACTTTGCAGGTATCACGTTTATTATTACAGGTGTCTGTCTAGCTTGTAAACATCATGCAAATCCACCTAAGTGGCGGGCTTCACATCTTTATAGTTATGTATGTTTTGTTTTTATAGTCATAGGAATCTTCCTGCTGTTCAGCACGTGGGGAAGACCACATCTTTTTATTGAAATTGCATATTTGTTTCCGAGGCGTCCAGCTTTGGTTACACAATCTCATCATGAAAATAAACTTCAGGGAGAGATTTTACCCGACCGCTTCAGGATGTACCTTTTTATACATATAGAGCCCAGCTATCTGTCGCCCTGCCCTCTCTATATATATATATCTATATATATATATATTTGTATTGTATTGTTATAATACATATTATATCAAATGTATACATACTATTAACTCACAACACACTACTTTTTTCAGTACATTTGTACCTTAAGTCCGAGTCATTGAGGCTCATTTACACAAAATCTAACAAGAAATGTTTTTTTTCTCACAGGTTTTAAAGTTTTATCAAGATGTACACAGAGGTGGCAGAAGTACTCAGATCTTGTACTTGAGTAAAAGTAGAAGTACTCAGATCTTGTACTTGAGTAAAAGTAGAAGTACTGAGATCTTGTACTTGAGTAAAAGTAGAAGTACTCAGATCTTGTACTTGAGTAAAAGTAGAAGTACTCAGATCTTGTACTTGAGTAAAAGTAGAAGTACTCAGATCTTGTACTTGAGTAAAAGTAGAAGTACCAGAGTGTAGGAATACTCTGTTACAGTAAAAGTCCTGCATTCAAAATGTTCCTTAAGTAAAAGTAGAAAAGTATTCTCATCAAAATATAGTGAAAGTAGCGACAGTAAAAGTAGTCATTGTGCAGATTGGTCCATTTCAGAATAATATATATGATATGTTTTATAATGATTGATCATGAAAGTGTTCTCAAAGCTGGTAAAGGTGCAGCTAGTTTGAATGACTTTGTATACTGCAGGGTAGCTTGTGGATTTACTCCAGGTGGAACTAAAGTCTGATTTAACACTTGATTATATTTCACATCATTCATCCACATCTGTGAAGTAACTAAAGGTATTAAATACATGTAGTGGAGGAAAAGTACACCATGTACCTCTGAACTGTAGTGGAGTCGAAGTATGAAGTAGAATAGCATGGATTATGTTTTTGTAGAAATACATCAAGAATTTGAAGTTACGTTAAACGTTTAAGGCACTAACATCTAAGTGAAGTAGTCGCTAAGCCTAGCAACAGGATCTTACTTTTCTAGCGTTTGGTATCAAAGTGAAAATAAAGCTCCTTTAGAGAAACATTGAAAAAGACTTTACCTGTCAGTGATGTTCATCAGATGCAGGTCAGCGCTGTCTGACAGAAACCAGACTCTTCATGGAGACGTCCTTCATTTGATTACCCACAATCAAAACTGACAGATGTTGAACCTTCAGTTAAACAAACAATGTGGTCTGTTATTGGAAAACTTAACATCGGTTTGACTTCACTATAGAGAACTATAAAGGAGCTACAGCACGGTCACATGACTTCACGTCACCACCGCTAAGCTAAAGGTGGCTAACGTTGGGCTATAAAGGAGCTACAGCACGGTCACATGACTTCACGTCACCACCGCTAAAGGAGGCTAATGTTGGGCTTGATGACATTTAGTCGTCTCATTTAGACACTTGTTAGCAACCACAGTTTGTAAATTCACCGGTGGGGTATTTACTGACGTATTTTATGTGGTAGAACAAAATGTTAAAATCTCTTCAGCTTGTGTTAACCACAGACCTTATTTCAGGATAACAACCAAAAACACATTCAGAAAACCTTTGACCTCCAGACTAGGGGACAGGAAGTGAGGAGATGATGAGTCATGTCAGGGTTTTAGGACTCATTCCTGCACCACTCTACTTCTGTCTGACTGAGTGAACAGATACCTCACGGGTAGCAGAAATCCCACAGCTTCTACAGGCTGAGATCCTCCTCCTGACCTGGTTGTGTAATGAAATCGTTATGAAACACAGTATTTCTGTTTGTGGGTGTTCGTCGTGACTTTGCAAGCTTGTATTCCCAACAGAGAGTTTTGTATCACCACACTGAACGCACATCAGTAACTCCTTGCTTAATATTTCTCATTTATGCTCAGCTTGCATCACCTGTTTACTGCACCGTTGCATCAGTGACACGAATGTGCAGCTGTAGTTCTGCTGCAGACAAATCAAACACAACTGGGATCAGATTTCCCTTCTTAACATGCACTTTAAATGACATTAAATGTAAAAGCATATTCTGGCCAATGTCTTCGGGAAACTTCAGATGTCTTTATATCCTTAATGCATATTAACTCAAACACTTAAAGTCGCTCCAGACAGCAACAGGTGTTCTGCACCCTGAAGGCAAACACTTACTCAAAGACTAGACATTGTTACAAGGGGGTCATTTATGTTAACGCCTGCAGCTGTAATAACGCCCATTTGTTCGTTTTCAAACCACACAATCCCTGAAGCAACCTTATTTTGCGTTACTGCCCTATCGTTGAGAAGATATAACCATCGTCCTTCAGACTGGACCAATCCAACGCAAGTTTCATTTCCTTTGGACGAGTTTATAAACCCCTGTTCTCGTTGATGTTGGGCTACTTACAGAAACTTTTAGCAGAACAAAAGGACTGCAGGACGCTGTGAAGCCTTTCAAGGTAAGATGGGTTATTTATGGAGCATTCATTCAGTCCTCTTAGTCAAGTATCTGGTGGTTTTGGTCTTAGTCAAGTATCTGGTCATTTTGGTGTTAGTCAAGTATCTGGTGGTTTCGGTCTTAGTTTACCAAGATGTCTTTAGTTGAAAAGTTTTTTTTAATGCACATTTTCATGCTAAATATCTCCTTACCAAGAAACTAAAGAGCAGAACTCTGATAAACATGAGATTTAAAAGCTTTTGCACGATTCTTTTTTAGAGGAAATCAGTTTTACAACATTGCTTATTCCACAATATCGTGTGAGTGTTAACTTCAGATTTCTTGACTTGCTGTTCCTTCAATTTTTTGCATTAAAATGACTTCTGGATCGAAAGCAATGACGTAAGTTTAGACGTTAAAATGTAGTATGGGAGGCGTGTGGCGCAGTGGGCTAGTGCAGGTTCAAACCCCACTGCAGTCAGCATGTCGTTGTGTCCCTGAGACACTTCACCCCAAAGTGCTCCTGTGGGGATTGTCCACAGTATTGAGTATGTAAGTCGCTTTGGATAAAAGCGTCTAACAAGTGACATGTGATGTAATGTAATGTAATGTAATGTAGTGTAGTGTAATGTAATGTGTAATGTAGTGTAATGTAGTGTAGTGTAATGTAATGTAATAGTCTTTAGGGGTCAAAACGTAAGATTTATAATGTCAACTCGTACCTCATCCTCCCGTTTCTTTCTCATAGCTAGCTTGTACTGTACCTCAGCCACATCGTAGATGCATTAATGCACACAATGTACACAATATCTTGTTTCTTATTATTGCACATATTTAATTACAATTCTATTTCAATGGAAATACTGCTAGATTTTACCAGATTTTACCAGATTTTTTAATGTTATTATAGTTTTCGTAAAATAGTTCTCTATCTGTGTTTTTTTTGCTTTTATGTATGCACCATGACATCAAGTCAAATTCCTCGTGCGTGTCAACCCACTTGGTGATAAACCTGATTCTGATTCTTGTGAGATAGCTAATCCTTAACTAACTATCTTAAGTTATTTTTATATAACTTTGCATGTCTTGAGCTGCAACAGAATGTGTAAGAAAAGCCGTTATTAGTGTTATTTCAATACGTTTTCATTAAAGTGCTGCAGACGGATCGATCAATCAAAGGTTTTATTGTCATATGCACAAAGCTACAGTGTAGAAATGGCAATGACATTCTTCTGGCCTGAGCTCCTCCAACGATGCAACATGTATAATAAAATACAGAAGCTTAAACATGTTTCCTTTGCATATCTTTAATTGAATAAGTATCCCATCGTCTCCGTGCACCATCAGCACTCCTTCCCGATGATGATGATGATGAACTCCACCTCCACCCTCTTCCTGAACTCTTCCTCTCATGGACCTCCTCCATGGTTCCAGTTCTCCGTTTGCTCCGTGGCTCCGTACGGATTCATCTTCTACTTCGGGGTGAAGGTGTTCAACCTGTTGGTGGGAACGCCCTGCAACGTGCTGGTTCTCTGGCAGATCGCCTCCAGGAAGAACGACGCCTGCACCTCGGACATCTTCATCTTCAACCTGGCCGTCATGGACGCCTTCTTCTGCCTCATGACGCCCATCGAGATGGTGAACCGGCTGCTGCTGGACGACCAGCGCATCTGGTACTTCCAGAGGTTTGCATACGGGATCAAAGACGTGGCGCCGCTGTTTCTGGTGAGTGTCTGGAGATATTACTATAAACCAGAGCCAGAGATGCTTCTGTATTTTATTATATATGTTGCATCGTTGGAGGAGCTCAGGTCAGAAGAATTTAATTGTCAAAATTACACACATCCTTTACTCAAGTAGAAGTACAGATATGTGTTTAAAAATACTCTGGTAAAAGTAGAAGTACTGACTAAACTTCTTTACTGAAGTAAAAGTAAAGAAGTATGGGCTTTGAAAAGTACCCATAACTACCATCTTCATCTGGTACTTCCAGATAACTTCATTAATGTATATATCATATTAAATGATACACAGTGTTTGATGCAAGTTGTAGCATCAGGTGCTAACGTCATTAGCTTTTTTGCTTCATTGATTTTTGATCGTTTTGTGATTTAATGCTTTCACATTTTCTCAAATCTCATGAATGCCTTTAACACATAAAGCAGTCAAACAAACCACTTCATGCTTAATTCATTCAGATGTCCTTCCTATCTGTTGTTCATTTGAGGGCAGACAATGTAGAGCATTACAACATTTGAGCCTGGATATTTATTTTCTAAATGCAAAAAACACTTTTGAGGTCATTTGAAGAGCTAGTTTATATAATTTCCTTTAACAAACGTTGGGAATGCACAGAAGTAGGAAGTATTGGAGTACAAATACTTCGTTACTGTACTTAGGTACATTTTTCTGGTATCATTACTCCACTACTTATTTTTCTGACGACTTTTTACTTTGACTTCTTACATTTGAACACAAACACCTGAACAAGTCCCTACAGACTGAACCACTCCTCTACTGTCTCTATTCTGTTGCAGGTGTGTATCTGCATGGACCGCTACATGGCCGTGGTCCATCCCATCCTCTTCACTGGAAACCGGGACAATAAGATCCGTTTTGGGATTTCGGCGGTGGTTTGGGGTCTGATCCTCGCCTACGCCCTCACCAAGAGCATCCTGGGGGTCATGAGCGTGAACGAGCTCTTCAGCGGACTCATCCTCTTCTCCTTCGCCCTCATGGTGTTCTGCAACCTCTCCGTGATCTGGGCTCTGCGGCGCTGCGTGGCCGGGAAGGAGGAGATGCACCCGGTGAAGAGGAAGGCCTTCAAGATGGTGCTCATCATCCTCGCAATCATCGTCTCCAACTACCTGCCGCCCGTCGCTCTCATGCCCTTCGTGTCCTACTACAGCTTCGTGGCGTTCAGGTGCCGGAGAGATGTTTTTCTTTACTTTAATCCACCAATCAACATGGAGATATTCAGTGGTTCAGTGATTGTTAGGGACGAGCAGTAAGACAACCGGACTGTTGGTTTATTTAATATGTTTCTTTAGTTACCCAAAGATTCATCATAAACCAAGAATCTTTAATAACTGGGTGTATAAAATACGTCAACAGCAAATAACTCTAATAAATCAGAAACGTAACAAGCGGTAACTGAACAAACTGACCTCAGATATAAAGTCAAAGTTGCAGTAATTGTAGTATTGCTCTGTAAAGAGACGATGAAGGATTGAATCGGGGATAGTGCTCACGTTAGTCCTTTGAAAGGCAGTCTGGCTCACTGTCAGGAGAAAAGAGAAATGACTCAATATGTAGGAACAGAAGCACATATGGTGGGATATGTTCAGGAGGAATTATGCTTTATGATGATGATGATGATGATGATGATGATGGGACGTGTGTGGCGCAGTGGTCTAGTGCGTTGGTGTTGGGATCAGGGGTCACAGGTTCAAACCCCACTGCAGTCAGCATGTCGTTGTGTCCCTGAGACACTTCACCCCAAAGTGCTCCTGTGGGGATTGCCCACAGTGTTGAGTATGTAAGTCGCTTTGGATAAAAGTGTCTAACAAGTGACATGTAATGTAATGTGATGTCATGTAATGATCACCTCAATCAATAATAATAAGTGTCCTATCTGTAATGCAATAAAATGATTAGTTTCTTAAAGGTGGGGTTGGTAATTTTAACCAATGAGGGCACGAGATAAGTGTGTGCACAGATGGAAGGCTGACAGGCAGGTAGGCCATCCAGTTATTTTAGCCGGGCCAGCTAAAATGATTGGTCGTGCTTTTTACAGTACTACAGCTTCCACAGATGACATTTATTTATGGATTTATTGTCAAAGCACTTCAGATATTCATTGCTATCGGGATGTTAAGAGCATTCCATGGAATATAACAAAAAGTGTATCTCGAGCCGGTTTCTCAAACTTACCTACCCCACCTTTAAATAAACAAACCGACCTCAGATATTACAAGAGTAAAAGTTGCAATACTACAGACTAAAGACAATACTACTATATATAATATAAACACATATATACACATTGTGGGTACTATTACTACAATTTGCAAACCAGTTTTAAAACATCTTTACAAACTGTTTCTTTGGTGACTGCTTTTTTTAGTGGAGATATTCAGAATTACACATTTATAAACAACAGATAGCTTCTTTATTTTACTCCATTTACACTTAACTCTTTCTTTTAAAAACCACATGAACATATGAAGCTTCAGTATATTCCTGTATGAGAAATATGATGCAGATGATGCTGCTACTTACGGCCCGTCCACACGGCAGCGTCGCGTGCTTCAACGGAGACGCTTCCCATTCACTTTGAATGGGGTGACGTCACGCTTTGCCGAACTGCATTGTGGGTCCGTCGCGTGGCTTTGCCTCCGTTGCTCGCGCTGAAAGTTGAGAAAAGTTCAACTTTTCAAGCGTCGACGGAAGCGTCAGCCAATCAAATCATATGCCAGTACAAGCTCTAGCCAATCAAACCGCGTGCTTGTGTGTCCGGGGCGGGAGATTCATGTGATTGGTTGTTGGTCGCACGGCAGACACGCCCACCGGCAAGCTTCAACGCACGCCGCCGTGTGGACGTACCGTTACAGAAAAGTGGGTTCGTTTAGCAGGAAACACTTAAAGGAGAAGTTCAAAAAGAAAGTAGAAAGAAAGTGAGGTGATAGAAACCTATTTCTGCTAAAAAGTGAGCAATGATTGAGTCAGAGCTAAACATTTCAGATGTGTGTATCTCACACTGCACTTTAACTTTTATTCACCTTTGTTATTCATGTGTTATTATCTTTGCTTTTAAATGAGTGTTTTTAAATGCCATTTCATAATATGTCTCTTAATGCTCTGAATGTCTTTCATGTTTGTAAAGCACCTTGAATGGCCTTGTGTTGAAAGCTGATAAATAAACTTGCCTTCTTGAGATATAAAACTGTAGTAATGAAAGCTCTCTGATCATCTCACTAGGTGCCAGATCAGCATCAGCGTGTTCTCCATCATGGACCTGAGCTGCAGCATCGAACCGCTCCTCTACATCACCAAGATGGACCGGGGGGACGCACGCTGCTGCGGACGCTGCTTCCACCGGAGGAAGAAGGAGGAGGATGGGAAGGTGTGATCGAGACGAGAAGAGAGGTTTCTGTTTGCAGACGGTCCTTTTCTCTTAAAGGACACCTATCATGCTATATTTAAATGATATATTGTAGGGCCATACCTATATAAGGTATATTTATACGTTTCTGTTTTCAAAATACCAAACAGATCATGCATTTTAGCCATGCCTCATTTCGCTCTATGTGCTGTTTGCTGTCTACGGGTCTGATTCTGCTGACCACGCCCCCCTGCAGGAGAGGGGAGACGTGCTCTGATCAGCTGCTGGGCTGTCAGAAGAGGGGGAGAAAAAGAGATCTCCGTCCTCCGTGTTTTATTATATAGAGTCGTTATTCATTTGTTTTAAAGCTCAATAAATAACAAAGAAGACCTTTGACCGGCACTTTTCTAATTTTGTCCGGAAGATTTAAACTTTAACGGACATCTTGACCGGTGAAACAAACTGAAACTGAAACTCTGCCGCACGGTCCCCTCGTTCCTTGGAAGAGGCGGAGAGGTGGGTGTTTGTCATCTGCTGGTGGACTAACCGGAGAGAATTACAGTGCTTGCCTCGACGGGGAGGGATTGCATTGAATTAAAGCAGCGGGAGCAAACGCTTGCCTCGGGGAGGGAGGAAAAAAAGCCACAGCGGAGAATAAACAGAAGGGTAACCATGGTAACTATGGGCGGGAAGTCTTCTTTGCTGCTTTTGTGGCAGACTACAGCGCCACTTACAGGCCTGGCATATGTACTACAGCGTCTCCAGCGCTTTCGAGCGGCAATGGCCGGCCGTGGCCCAACCCCACATTCCCCTGATAGGTGGAGAGTTGGCCCAATAGCCGTAGCGCCACCGTCCTGACGTCAGGACAGTGTTCAAATCTGGATCAGTTTTTATCAGATCCGTTGCAGCCCCTTTTTTAGAGATTTGGGTATGGAGGAAAATAGAGAGGGTTGTGTTTTCTGACACTTGGTGAGTTCCCTGGAACACCGGGGACACATATTCATGTAGAAAAGACGTACTAAAGTGCATTTTGCATGATAGGTCCCCTTTAAATAAAATAATATGAAACACACAGAGATGTTTTTGTTTACATTTAAATCTCCTTTAAAGACCTACTTGTTCTCCCGTGCTTTGCAGACCACGTATCAGTCTGTGTTTTCTAAATTGCTGTTTTCTATTTTGTTGTGTTTTAAATGTTTTACATCGTGTATGAGAGTTGTTCAGTCTGTGGCTACAAGGATGGTTTCATTGTCTCGTGTTTCAAAGTCAGTGGTGATCGTTAGAGACGAGCAGTAAGACAACAGGACTCTTTGTGTTTCTTTATTTACACAAACATTTAATAATGTTTAATAAACCAAGAATCTTTAATAACTAGCTCAGGGGTCGGCAACCCGCGGCTCTTTCAGCCCTCTGCTCTGGCTCCCTTGAGCTTAGACAAAAATAAGAAGGAAATAAAATAAAAGTATTTGTAGGACACATAAAAAAATTAACCAAACGGTTTTAATTAGGTCAACTGAAATATGCTACGGTCCCGCGCCAGCGCCTTTTCTTGCAGGTGGATCGGAGGAACACAGAGGGTTTAATTCTGCGTGGACAGAGTTATCTGCTTTCAAGCAAACGATGCTGGCTTACCGGGATGTTTGATATGTGGAGAGAAGTTCTCAAAGGTGCTGCAGCCTTTACGTACTGGAGGGAAAACACGGGAGAGGAAGACAGCTGACGATCTTCATCATAATTCAATCAGTTAACTCGATTTAGGGTGCAGCTATAGGTTTGATTTATTTCAAAGTGGGCCCATTTGAATTATATTAATTGTCTTCAAATGTGCAGAGGACTCCCCAAGTGCTGTGTTGATTCATTTTAAAGTAGGCCTGTGTATTTTTTTGTATTCTCCTTATAAGAGTTATTTGTTTCTTATTAGAGGTTAACAGTTTTTTATAATGTAATAAATAATACATGCAAAAAAACTGTAGTTTTTGTCTTTGATGTAACAATATATACAACTTTATAAGCTATCAAGCTATCAAATATGTTTTGTGGCTCCAGACAAAAAAATGTTGTGGAAAAGTGGGCAAAATGGCTCTTTAGGTCAAAAAGGTTGCAGACCCCTGGACTAGGCCCGTAAACAGTGGCGTTTGTATCGGTACCAAAGAGGTGGAGCACGAACAACTTAGATGTATGTATATAAGCTTCTGGTGCTTTTTTAAACACGTAAACAAATAGCTGGCTATCCATGGTTCCGATAGAGAGAGGAGGGGGGGGGGGGGGGGGGGGGGGGGTATAAGGAAAACACAAGACGCTCATCACCGAGGTCACAATATCAATGGATCCAGCAGAGCAATAGCCTAAAGGCAAAACACAGAAGATCAATAAAAGATATGACATAAAATGATCTTACCAAAGCTGAAGTAGACGGTCAACTTCAATCATTTTCTTTCAGTTTCATTGATTGTAGTCGCTGTACGCTGCTCTCTCTCGTCTCCTCTTCACATCTAAACTTTTCACGGCACACGTACTTACGGCCAATCAGCTCTCTGAATTATGAGATGACGTTTGGTGGGTATGTCAGCACAGTGCCCATATGGTGATTATTTTTTTGCCGCACACATTGAATAGAAAAATACTCTGAGCATGCGCAGTGTAGTTTTTACAGCACTGATTCACTTTGACAGTGAGAGAGAGGGGCATGATCGGGGCTTGCCCCACATCGCTCAACACGGCTCAATAGGCACACTGTAGACACTAATGTACAGACGAATCAGACGACTAAACATGATCTTAAAATATATTTTAACATGTATTTTCTTTGCATTTATTTGCATTTTTTTGGAATTCTTATTTGAATTACTTTCTGCTGACACTAGGTGGGGCTGTATTACTAAAGTAAAAGTTGCAATACTAAAGACAATACTACGATATATATAAATATACACATTGTGGGTACTATTACTACAATTTGCAAACCAGTTTTAAAATGTACAAAAACATCTTTACAAACTGTTTCTTTGGTGACTGCTTTTCTTTGTGGAAACATTCAGAATTACACATTTATAAATATCTAATTTATTTTTCTCAATTTACACTTAACTCTTTCTTTTAACAAACACATGCTTCAGTATATTGCAGTATAAGAAATATGATGCAGATGATGCTGCTACTTACAGAAAAGCGGGTACTTCAAATATAAAACTGTAGTAATTAAATGAGTTTATGTTGTTACTTTGAGAGTTGAGTTGTTCCTCCAGGCGGTAGCAACGTCTCGTTAACACCTTGACTTTATTCTGCTTTTCAGAGAGCAATTAGTGGCTCATTAAGGAAACTCTATTATTAGGAACACACCGCGGGACCAATTAGCAACACAGCGGTTAATGAGAGGGCACAAAGATTATGTAAGTGGTTAAATAAGACAATACGTAACACAGTGTAAGCAATAAAGAAACACATATGCAGTCATTTTATTACATTTGGATTTTATCAAAGCACATCTTATTCAAAGAGTTAAAAATGACACTGATAACGAAGTGGAGCAGGAAATTAAATCCCTTACATGTTGAAGGTGTTCCTGTGGTTTTACAGATGAGAAAGAGGTATTACTTTTACAGTTAAAATGTGTATTATATTGTGTATTATAAGTGTGTGTAATGCTCTTTGTGGTCCATCAAATAAGTGTATTTGAATTTGAAAAAACATGTTAGGGGTTTGATCGACACGCTAAGAAGAAAACACTGAATAACAGAAAGATTTGGAAATCCTTGCTTTTATTGTCCTTAAGCAAAAAATTAAAAAGAGAAATAATAATAATCTTTCTTTAAATTAACTGTTTCAACATTTTATTAAAAGATAAAAAAATCACATTTTGCATTTTTTATTCTCACATGGATACATTTAAATAATAACAACTACATCTCCCATGATGCTTTGAGAGAACATGTATGTCTGAGACTCATGGGAGATGTAGTTAAGTGAAATCAAATCCTGATAAATCATATTTAGCATTTTTAATTTTCACAAGGATTCATTTAAATAATAACAACTACATCTCCCATGATGCTTTGAGAGCACATCTGTGTCTGAGACTCATGGGAGATGTAGTTCAGTAGAAATGAACTACAGATATTAACTCTGAGTGATTTTGCTGTGCAGTTCCTTCAGACCCTCCTCACTGGCTTCAGGTCCGTCTTCAGAGGAAACGTACCCAGGATAGGTGGGGTAAAACTGGGGAGGGGCTGTTAGCTTAGCATCCTCTTCCTCCGAAGCTAACAGCGGTATCAACTTAGCGTGAGCGTAGTCGATTTCAAAACCCTCGAAAATAAGCCCCACCCCCGACGCTCCAAGCCCCGCCTCCAGGAGCCTCGCCACCTGAAAGAGGAATAACTTTTACAGTTAAAATGTGTAATATATTCTATTCTAGACCTACCAAGTCTTTCTTTAAAAATAACATTTCTATTAAAGAAAACCAGGAATGTTTGATGCTCTCCCACCTTCAGTGCTGCCAGAACCAGCCCCTCGTAGTCCTGCTTCTCTAACCTGAAGATATCGGAGGTCAGAGGTCGGCGCGGCACCAGAACCGTGAACCCGGGGGAGTTTGGGAAGGGCGTGAGGAAGGCCACGTGACTCTGGTCCTCCCAAACCCTCCATTGTTCCTCCTCCTCCCCCCGAATGATGCGAGGAAACAGGCCGGGGTCCGCCGGGTCGACCCCCAGGAAGGAAAGGTTCTGGGGGGCGTTGGGTTCTGGGAGCTGGGCTCTGATCCGGGTCTGGATCTCAGAGAGGCGAGAGGAGGGCCAGCGGGGGGCCGTTCTGGAGGAGATGTATCCTGGATCTACAGCGTTGTAATCCTCCTCTCCCGCCAGGTGGGGGCGCCACTCTGAGGCCAGACCGTGAAGAGGCAGGATCCGGATCTGAGGGGACGAAACACAAGGTTTTATTCAAATGGAGTCGGACGGAACAGAACACAATTTTATAATTATTTTACATTTTTACCTGTCTATTATATTTGTTATCTTATATTTGTTTTAAATGTTCTACTCATATTTTTTAGTGTAGTAAGTAACAATTTTTAAGCTCCATAATAAACACAGATAGTATCTATTTAAATCTTCCCGGAGACGTTAAACCATGCACTCTGGACTGTACCACTCTGGACTGTACCACTCTGGACTGTACCACTCTGACTGTACCACTCTGACTGTACCACTCTGGACTGTACCACTCTGGACTGTACCACTCTGGACTGCACCACTCTGACTGTACCACTCTGGACTGCACCACTCTGACTGTACCACTCTGGACTGCACCACTCTGTACTGTACCACTCTGACTGTACCACTCTGACTGTACCACTCTGGACTGTACCACTCTGACTGTACCACTCTGACTGTACCACTCTGACTGTACCACTCTGGACTGTACCACTCTGACTGTACCACTCTGGACTGTACCACTCTGACTGTAACCACTCTGACTGTACCACTCTGACTGTACCACTCTGGACTGTACCACTCTGGACTGTACCACTCTGGACTGCACCACTCTGTACTGTACCACTCTGACTGTACCACTCTGGACTGTACCACTCTGGACTGCACCACTCTGTACTGTACCACTCTGACTGTACCACTCTGACTGTACCACTCTGACTGTACCACTCTGACTGTACCACTCTGGACTGTACCACTTTGGACTGTACCACTCTGGACTGTACCACTCTGGACTGTACCACTCTGGACTGTACCACTTTGGACTGTACCACTCTGGACTGTACCACTCTGGACTGTACCACTCTGGACTGTACCACTCTGGACTGTACCACTCCCTCACCTGTGCGGGGGTGTCTCTGTGAGGCCGGTGCACCAGAGCACACCTGAGCACCCCGAGGCGACGGCAGAGCAGCTGGGAGACGCTCTGAGCCCCGAGCAGCAGCTGCAGGAAGCGATGCTCCTCCAGCTGGAAGACGCTCCTCCCTGGGGGACCGGGGGGGCACAGCTGCAGGGTTACACACCCCGGAGTACAGGGGTGGGGCGAGAGGGAGGCCACCAGACCCTCAGACCTCCAGATCACATGAGGAGGGAGAGAGGACATCCTGTGGGGGGAGAGCATCACATATATTTCAAACAAAAGTTATTATAGTATGTCATATATTGTATGCCAGTGATTCCCCTAGGGGTACGTTGGGGTACTGCAGGGGGTACGTGAGATACAAATTTAAAAAAAGTTGATTAAAGAAATACCATGCATGATTACAAAAATAATCATAGTACAGTAACTTAAATAGAAAACACAATTTTATATAAAATATTCCTAGAACCACCAAGGGTTCAAGATCCGTCCTTGTGCTTTTCTGGTGCTTAACTGGTTCTTCTCTGTTTTTACAAGTGTGTGGTCGCGTTCTAGATTGGGAGGGATGAACCCCTCTGTAATGGTCACACATGCAGAGCACACAGCACACACAGAGTTTTGTTCTCTGCTTTTAACCCATCCTAGTACCAGGAGTCTAGCACTAGGAGCAGTGGGCAGCTATTGTACAGCGCCCGTCAGCGCTACTGCTTGTTACAACTTGTATTTGCCGTACTCGCCATTAACTGTTATTGCTCAGGTTAATCTCGCCTCCCTCCGACGCAAGCATGAAGAATTGGTTCTTGCCGGTCAGCCGAGTGGGGCCAGCTAAGAACCGGGTTTCAGTACTGAGAGCCAGCTCCGCTGCGGTGTAAACAGGAAGTAAACCAGAGCTAAATCAGGCTCTAGCCCGGAACCACGCTGAGCGGGAAGCCAGTTGCAATATTAGATTATAACAAATAGACATTTAAATGGTTCAAACGTAGCAGCACTACAGCAGGGAACGCGGACAACGGAGAAAAAAAGAAAGCCAAAATTGAGCCAACAAAATGCCGTCAATATCAGGAGGCGTATGCTTTGACGGGATTCACGTCAACAAACGGCAACCCGCCCCAGGCATTGTGTTTTTTCTGTGGGGAGAAACTAGCCAACAGCTCGATGAAACCAGCGCACCTCCAGAGACATCTCAGCACCAAACACCTGTGTCATGTTGGTAAGCCACCGGAGTTTTTCAAGAGAAAACTGTCTGAGTACAGATCCTCGCAAGAGATGATGCGAAAAGCCTCCGCCACATCAGCCAAAGCACTGAAGGCATGCGGTGTCACTGCTCATCGCTAAATTCATAAAGCCGTTCACGATCGCTGAGGACCTAAAACTCCTAAATAGTGTCAGTGCAGTGCTATTACATAGTTTGTTTATAATTGCAAAAAAGATTCAGTTACAACGATTTGATTTTTTTTAACCCCTTCATGCATTGTGGTCACGACATTAGAGACTGCTAATTTAATGCTGTTTTTATATGCATGGGGTTTCGGATGGTATAGTTGCACATCAGGCACAGTGGATTTTATTATAATATTTGTGTATTGTATTTTATAGTTTTTGCATAATATATCATTTTGTTCATTGGTTTGTTAAACATATAATTACTTAATAATCTGTTTACAAAAAATGTCGTTATATTCTTTTTTTCATGCATAAAGATGAAAATATCCTTAGTTTGTTGTAATGCATGCATGAAGGAGTTAATAAATCACACACTGATGGAACATCCCTATATTGTAATTATTTATATAGGCTTTTTCTATCACAAATGTTCGGGGTCGGTCAGGGGGTACATTACTGAAAAAGGTTTGAGAAGCACTGCTGTATGCTATGTTATAAACATGTCATTAAAAAGGCACAAATTGCGTCATAAACAGTTAAAAAAGTTAAAATAAACACCTTAAATTATTCGTAACGAAAAGCCGATAGTGTCTTTGGATCAAAGTGAATAAATAAAGTGTTTCAGTGCTGGAGTTTTTGAAGCTTTTACTGGGAGAAAACCATTAAAACCGTTAAATCACGTGTTGTTCTAATGGAGTCTGGTTGGAAAGATAGGCCCAATCCCAAACCACGCCCTACACACTCCCCCTCCGTGACGGAGTGAACTCTCAGCTCAACGAGGCTCCTCTCTCCGGTAGAAACAGGAAATGCCGTAACTGTATGTAACAACGGTTTCAAATCAGCATCTCTTTGACAAAACATTAACATTAATAACTCAAATAAAACTCCAAACATCTTTCATTGTGTTACTTTTTTGTAAAGCTCTTTTAGTTTTAAACCTGATGTTTATAAGCTTCTTGGTTTTTGCAACAGTCTGTAAATATACACAACTTTATAATAAAATGCACACATTTAACTTTTTCTAGACTAAACACAGGTATGATCCTAAGTTAAAAACATATGAGGTTATCATGAGGTTGTTAACATCGCAGTTTATCAGCGGATGTTTGCTGGAACTACTTGTTCACAGCGTGTTTCCTGACGGACACACAGCGTTGAGACCGGTCAGGTAGAGACCCTAGAGACCGGTCTCCAGTCAGCACCGCTGCAGACTCGCTGTTTGAGGGCTTGATAGCCCACTCCCCCTCCACACCGCTCCACTCTCGTTGGTTTGGAACAGCACTTAATGTGGCGGACCCTCCGTTCGGTGTTTAGGGGTAGGGTGTAGGGGCGGTTTGGGATTGGGCCTTAGTTAGAACGTTAAAAAGTCACGTGATCCGACCTACCTTCTGATGATAGTCCTAGGAAACAGCGTGAAGTGAATAAAGAACACACACCTGTCCTCTGATCAGAGAATACAGAGGTAAACACAAACAGCTGACAGACAGTCATGTGACTTCTGCTCGTTCTTCTTCTTCTTCGTCTTTTTTTTAGATGGTGGTTTCATCCAAAAGACTGCATTACCGCCCTCTATTGGATTCATGATGAAACTACAATGACTATCTTCAACAAAGTAAAATCTTGACTTTTTTATGATGTTTAAACTGAATATACTACGACTTTGAAATGATTAAATGACACAGTATGCTATCTTTTCTTTTCAACATACTAGTGTGACTTCTTTCATCCAATTTTCCACAGACCATCTATTGCATGTTTTGTTTTCATATTTATCAATAATAAATCACAGTTCTTTCGACATACTATGCAGTTGTTATTGACCACTATACTCTGTGGTTCTTTCTCATATTTTTTACATCCTGTACTATAATTTCTTTAAATAAACTTTATTTTTCCATACAAAACTTCGTTTTTCTCATATTTCGGGACATCTTATTCCATGTCATTTTTTCAGGACATTTTCGACAAACGAAACGATTCATTAACTTTTTCTGAACATACTTTAATATGTTGTTTTATAGGATATTTTCGACATACTATTGTAACATTGCTATGAAACACTCAACACACAATACTATGCTTTTGATATATAAAAGGTTTTGTTTCAATGAGGAGTAGAAGAAATACAAATACAGTGAACAAAACATGAAACAACTACTTACTCAAGTACAAGATCTGAGTACTTCTACTTTTACTAAAGTACAAGTGAGCTGCTGCCTATTGAAAGGTGAAAGTGACGTTTAACTAGTGGGTTTATATATACAGTCTATGGTTACAATATACAATGACCTTTCTTCCTTTTGTTGACACATTATAATATCAGTTTTCATGTTTTTGAAACGCTATACAATCAGCCGCCAGCAGAGGGCGCTCTCGAGCTGCAAAGTGAAGTGCCTCCTCATTGGTTGATTTCATGTCACACCATCGCTTCATTCAACACCTCCTGACCATGGATGTATAATAAGAACTGGATACAGCGTGGGAGGCGGGGCCTCATTCATTCCTATGAGAGTTGCTCAATCGCGCATGATGACAAAATGGCCCAACTTTTGAGAGAGCGAAACGTCACAGATTACCCGGCATGCCTGAGAAGTACCCGTATGTGCGCTCATAGCGCATGCGCAACTTTAAACATGCCCCCCAAAATGCTCGCTCACATCAAGCACGTCAATTTGCGTACACGTAACAGCACCGCGCGTTCATGACAGCATGGTAATGGGTTGTTATGATGGATTTGATATTAACGACGAGGCGGCAGTTAGCAGCTAGCGGCTAGCTAGTAATTATGCTAATTTACACATCAGTCGTTATGTACTTTTATATTACGCTGATGTAACAGGATCTAGTGATATCCAAGCAACAGAGCTTAATTTAGCATGAAACTTGTGTGGGTTGTAGCCTACATGAAACCACTTGGTAATATATAAAAATATATGTATTTTGAGTTATGATCAATTGTGATTTAAATCTTTATCTAAAAAGTAAAGCTGATGATGGATTACTGTGGTGGAGTTAAAATAACAATAGCCTATTTCTCTTTGAAATGTGATGGAGTGAAAGGATAGTAACTGTGATTATTCATGTTAAGTACCCAACAAGTAACTACAACGTATAATACTTGAAGGAAAGGTGTAAAATGTTTCCATAAATACCAATATCACACAGTACAACACCCCTTGTTGTTAAATACCAACCATGTGTATATATATATATATATGCCGCTAAAACTGTGTAATATACCTGGCTGCTAAATCCTCCAAACTGTTACAGGATGTGTATTTTGTAAAATGTGTAACTGTTTTTATTATAATTTCTTGTTTTTAATCTTTAATACTTTTTGTATGCATACTTTAAGTAACATTAGGCTGTCTTTGGCTCTTTTCTGCTGTAATAATGTAAATGTATTCTGATTCTGAACTAATTGATATGTTTTTGTCACAGTTTGTTTCCCTATATTGCGACACTTGTTTTGTTTAAGATTATTTCTCCTTTTTTTACAGACATCCCCAACCATAGTGGAATGCTGTTGTAAAGGATTGCATTGATCCGTGCATCAATACCTTCACCCAGCTTTGAGGCCTCCAATGAATGAAATCATCTTGTGGCTGGGAAAAATGTGAAAAAATAAATCTCACAAAGAGTGACTTTCTGGTGTAATCATTATAATATCAAAGACAAGCACTTTTAGTAACAATATATAAAATCATTCAGCAGCAGAGGTTGGGGTGGAAACAGCATTTCTAACTAAGATGATTACAATATTACAAGTTAAACATCAAGATGAACATACTATTATTAATTTAAAAAGTACATGGGAAACTTAAATATCCTGCAATATACCATTAGCAGAATAGGAACAAATGTGCCAAAACATTTCTAACATTAACATAAACTGAGGGCTTTCTTCCTGAGCCGCTGGGAGTAAAGCTCCTCCATGGGTGGCAGCTCCGTCCTGGTGATGTTCTGTGCAGTTTTCACCACCCTCTGTAAAGCCTTACGATTAAGGGCGGTGCAGCTGCCGTACCAGGCCGTGATGCAGCCGTGTCCGTGATGGACACAGAGGAACCTGAAGCTGCTGACTCTCCACCGTAGTCCCATTGATGGCGATGGGGGCGTGTCCCTCTCCCTGCTGCTTCCTGTAGTCCACAATCAGCTCCTTGGTTTTGCTGACGTTGAGATGGAGGTTGTTATCCTGGCACCAAGATGTCAGGTTTTCGACCTCCTCTCTGTACGCCGTCTCTTCGCCGTCTGTGATCTGGCCGATGACGGTCGTGTCGTCAGCACGTAGGCCCGTACCAGTGTCTTGAAGTGGCTGCGCTTCCTCCTGGGCCACATCCAAAATTGAGAAGAAAGAGAACAGACACACCACAGCTGGGTGAGGCTGGTGAGGCTGGGGAAGATGAGTAAAACAACTCAAGAGTAAGAGTGGGTAACTCAAGAGTAAGACTGGGTATGTATACATTCACTCCGCAGCTGCTTATAATCAGCTCATCACAGGCGTTCTCTTTAACCTATTACATTCACCTCATTCTCCAGCAGCCAAACACCGAGCTGCAGCCAAACTTTAAAATGGTTCTCCTCTCTCCTGCAGTCAGCTGTGATTTCAGGTGTTCATGCTGCCGCCCGCCTCCTCCCCATCCACCTCCTCCCCATCCACCTCTTCTCCACCCACCTCCGTTCATCATATCCAGAGCCAGGAGAGCTAATCCAAAGACCTCATCACACCTCCTCTTCATCCCATCTCCTCATCAAATCCAGATCTTCATCATCATCACCAGTGTCTAGACCCCGGGGAGGTTCCCTATGCTCACGGCTGCATTTCCCCCTTTAGATATAAGATTTCAGGATCGGGGTCTAATCGCCAAAGACTTAACATTTATCATATGACATGTGTCAATAAATGTTCTTTAAACAAAATGAAGTCTCTCCTGATTTAACTGTCTGGACCCCATCCTCAACTTTTTTTCAAACCACAACATGCCTTCAGAGGGCTTTCCTGTTGATCATAATTGGTGGATCTTTTAATCTAATAATTGCAATCAATATTATATATATTACCTTTTAATCTATATAAATTGTATTTACATTTGTTGTCACTATTTTTTCCACCTAGTTCTACAATGCCAGCCATAAGAGGTATACATTTCTTATTTTTGTGAATTTCTATATAAAATGCTGATTTTCTACCTGAAAATGCTTATGTATTTTTAATTACATTTTCGTAGAGCTTTGACTTTTTCAGCTGAATAAATATTATAACTAGATGGTTTTGTTCAGCATTGCCAGCTTCACTTTTGAGCTTTATGTTGTGCCCAGCATTCTCCTGTGCTCTGAAATCAAAATGTGGATAAGCATAACACAACACTAAAATAAACACTACAATACAACTTGTTATTTGACACACACAAGGTTGTTCATTTGTGTGTATAAATATAAAACACAGGCTATATACATATATATATATATATATATATATATATATATATATATATATATATATATATATATATATATATATATATATATACATATACAAGTATAATTAATACAACTGTTAATTTGATTAGAGCTTTGACACATATATCTTTATTTATATATGTATAAGTATGACGACTTCCTCGGGCGATATCATGGTATAGCTAATTAATCTGGGTCAAAACGTGTTGTGCCCACATGCAAAGGTTGTAAACTCTGGTTTATCCCTGCGTGGTATTATAGTAATAGCAAACAGCAACGTTCAACTCCTTTAATGGTATATTGCAAGTGCAATAAGAAGCTACAGGGACGTTAATCTACGTCGGTAATATTAACTTTATTTAATACAAGATTTACGGTACAAGATTTAATCATACAGCCCATGTAGTATAATATTTTACAAATGATGAATTACAGCAAACATGTGCAATATATCCGTTATTACAGCTCCGTGGGCTGGCAGTAAGGCGATATGGGTCCGTTCTTATTGTGCATCCATGGGTCAAGATAAACGCATGTAGTGCTGAACACGTAACATGAACGTGCCGGGCGGCGCGGTCCCGTGGGTTAGATGCGCGTTCATAATGCAGAGGGAAATAACTCTCAGAATAACGTTATTAGCACATTTTTACAACTTGAGGAACGAATGTTTTTAATAAGGGCTATACAAGTGTTCATACTGGGTAGTTTATTTAGTTTAAAAAAAATTATCCAACGAGTTACAGACCACTCTTTCCCCATGTAAGTCAATGGGAAAAAGTGTTTCCGGGCCTGGCAACCAAAAGGAAGTGTAGTACCGCCGTTTGGCCAGCACGAATATTTTCATCAGAGTCCGGCGCACTTCCTGGGGGCTTGCTCCTGACTCGTATAAATGATTATGAAACGCATGCAACATATTTTCTTAATCATCACTTCCTGTTTCATCAGAGGGTGAATTATTCAAATTTTGAGGCTATTTCTTAGAAGAACACTCACTTCCTCTTTCTGGGGAAATTCGATATAGGATTAAACACACACACACACACACACACACAC